AAAAGGAAGATATATTATAAAAAGCAATTATTCTGCAACATGAAAGAGAAGTTGCATATATGGAGAAGCTTTTACCCTAGCAGCACTATCCTATTTATATCTTTATGGAAATAATTTCAGAAAAAAATATTTCTGCCTCTAATTGGAGTATAATATTTATCTATTTTCCATGCTATTAATGGAACATGCTTGTTTTGCTCTAACTAAGTTGTTTAAAATTTTTGAGCTTGACTATATTAATAACTTTTAAATATATGTATAATTCAGTATTGTACCTGTTTGGTAGGCATTATCCTCTACCAGAGAGAATCAACAAAGCTCAGCTGCCCTTACAGGCAGGTATGAAAGAACCACTAGCACAGATGTGCATGAGGAACAGTCTATTTTAGCAAGAAGGCTGGACAGCTGTGTTGCTGTGAAGTTTTGACCAATTACCACAAAGAGCCTTGTGGAAAAGTATAAAATGGATGCAAATACATGCTTAAAATAGGAAACTGGGTTTTTTTAAGTCTGCACCTGCCTTTACTACTTTTAATTCAATGTTTTGCTACTCACTTCGGAGTTTTTTTACTGTGTTAGGTTTTCACACTAAGGAATGTATACTTTCCAGTTCTTTAGTTTTCTAATAACTGGTAACTATCATTTTCAGCAGAACTACTTTCTATTAAAACAGTCATGCCTAAAATAGGCATATCAGTTCTGTGTGAATAAAATCACATTTAGGGTCTTATTCTCACAGTGAGAACAAAACCACCTCAAACTCAAAACCGGTCTGAGGTTGCAAAAAGCCTGGGCTATATTTGCAATCAACAGCACCTACTGTTATATTGAATTTTCACTTGTCAAGAAGTCTGAAACACTTCCATGAGCCATATTCTGCCTTCAGGGATAGCAGTGTGAAATCAATGGAACACTGAAATCTCACAAATGCTATAAAAATCTTCATGTTATAATACTAAATATTTTTCCTAGCAATTTAAATTATAGAATAATATTTCACTATTTAGCTACAAAGCTTCTTATTTTTTTTTCATTTTTAATATTGAAACAATTCTGGTTTTAAGTATTCTTAATGTGCTGAAAAAACTTTAATATATGCACTGCTGGTATACCAGTCACCTGAACTTTTAACAGTGGAAATAATTCCACTGGACAAAAGTACTATCCATGAGTAAACATAAATAGCAACACAGTCTTTATCTTCAGGATTTTATATCCTGACCAAATTATTCTAAAACTCAGTTAAGACAGTCAGCTAATACTGGGATTTAACGTTACAAGGCTTCCCCCCAACATTTATGATATAATTTAGAACAAATTTCTCCCTCTTTGTAAATGTGGGTTAATCCAAGTCAAAAAAATTATTTTATATTAATTACTATAATATATATCATTATATGAACTGCCTCATTTGTTTAAATAAGTTTTTTTCTTTTCTCCATCAAACTTATCCCACTTCATGGCATGTCAAATCTTCTCAGCCCTGATTAGGCCCCTGCTTTCAACTAAAAAAGCAAGTTTTCCTCCAGGAAATAGGAAAATTGTGTCACTACTCCACGACTCTAGTCAGAAAACCCTCATATGCTGAGTGCTACAGTCCATAGAACTCATCTCCAGCTCAGCCTGCAGCAAGCTCCTCAGGAAACTTCTGGCTTGGAAAATTAGAGATAGCTTAGAAGTAAATATTAGGTAAAAGTAGTAGGATAATAGCAGGGCTATCAGTTCATGAGGTAAGGAGGCTGGAGAGTGGCCTGGCTGGGGAATGGATGCATTCTCCAGTTGACCCATCTGGAAGAAGGCAACACCTCCTGGAGCTTTCCTTGGCTTGATGTTTGTATGCCAGGGGGCTGCAAAGGTGCTGATCTCTTCCCCTTTCTGCCAAGGGCTGCAGTGCAGCAGCGTGGGAATGGAGGCTCCTTCTCATGCTCATCCAGAGGACTGGCAACACTTAGTTCATACACACAGGGCTCCTACGTGGTCCCTGCTGCATGTCACCTGAAGGACTACATTCAATTTACAGCACTGTTTTGTGCAAAAAATGGACAATAACAGTGCTTTTCTTGTGCTCTTTGTCTCCAAGTCATAACAGTATATCAAACACAAACAGAAGGAGGTACAGCTGCCAGAACAGAGACTTGAGCAAAGTACTTAACTCCTTGCATGACCAAGTTCTTCAAAGTAATGTTCTGTTTATTTTTAGCTGGTTTTCTTCATGATTATTTTCTCATCTACGTTTGTTTTTTTTATGGTGGTTTTTTTTTTTCATCCCAGCAGCAGTAAACATATTGTTATATCTAATTTCGCTGCTTTAATTAAGTAAGTACTTCTCAGTCCATGGTCAGTTCTATTTTGGGCTTGTTTAAAGTTTATTTAATTTGAGACATATACCAAGCAGGGCAGCATAACTGCACATCTCAAGGCCTGCTTGATCCTAATATTAAAAAGTTATTTTATTTCCTGAAGGTTTAAAAAAAATCTAAGAAGTTCAGTGTAAATTCTTTTTATCTGCAATCTAAAAGTACAAGTAAAAATGGCAACAGAACAAGACTCTATATGCAGTGTAATTAACACCTTCGTTTTTGGGGGTTTTTTTTGAGGATAACAGGAATAATGAACACATACTATCACAGAATCTGGGGGAAAAAGCCCTGGCAGAGGCAGAAGAAGGTCATCTCATCCATCATCCATTCACTGCACAATGATGGGATTAAGGATTCTGCATAATTCTTGTGGGGTGTCTGGTGATGAAGTCTCCATGTCATTCCTAGGCAGACTGCAGACTTGCTTCACTTCATTTAGAAAACTTTTTCTCATATACAATCTGAATCTTCTTTGTTGCAATTTAAGCCCATTCTTTTTTATTTCTTCCTGCCATTATTCCTTTTTAAAGACTGGCAAAATGTTTGTAATTTTAACTTGCCTGGAATTTCAAACTTTTCTATGAGTTGCCGAAGTCCTCATTATTGCTTTAGTAATTTCTTTGAACATTCTAGAATGCAGTAATCTTAAAAGATACTTAAAAAGATACTTAAAAGATCTGACAGATTTAGGGATTCTAACCTGTTCTTTTACTTTCCCTTTCTTATAAGTGTTAATTGTACCACACACCAGTTCAGAGTTGACCTTTTCAGAAGACTGATACAGAAAAAGCCATTACACATTTCAGCCTTCTTGAAATCATTTGTTGAGAGCTCTTTCTCTTTTCTATACAGCAGACCAATGTTTTTCTTAGTCTTTCTCATCACTATTGCTCTGATGAATCAGTTTACATCACCCTTGACACCCCTTGCTAATAGCATAATTTTGTATCTGTTCTTGTGCTTCCATTTTATTCCTTTTATTTATCTTCACTGAACTAATTTTCTATCCTTTTTCTGCATGCTTCCATCTTATGACAGAAATTAACTTAAAATTTTTATGTTTGTCTTTTACTACACTTCCTGTCCTCCTATATTTCACATTTGGATCCCTTGAGCCAGTATCATTCATATCTTTTGTCCAAGAAACTGATAGTCCCCCTTAAATAATTTTTCTTTAGTTTTGATTTCTCTTAGATTCCAAACTGTGGATCTGTATTTAAAGTTTTGCTCTCAAAATTCCCTGGTTTTCTGTACTTCTTCCTTTCCCTCTAAAGAATAATGAACTCTGCCACACCATGGTCACAGAAGTTGCCTTCTACACTTACTAGGTTAAAGTCAAATCCAGAAAGGTTTTCTCTTAAGTTGCTTATATAGTTCAAAAACTTACTAGGGAATTTGTGCTCAGCTCCCAGCATATTCACCTGGAAACAGGTAAATCCCCATATTATTATAAAGTATTGCCTTGGAAAATGCCAACTCCTCACACAAAACTTAATCCAAATCTTTATAAGAGAGTGTAACTGATAATGTGATTTCCTTTACAGAGTTTGAGTGCTTTTAACTACTTACTGATCTCATTTAATGAGAAAGAGAGGGACCCTTTGGCAGAGAAGTTACAGTCAGTATTGCCAACAGTGGCAGGTTGATCTGGTTCTGCTGCTGCCTGGGTCTCCATCTGTAGATTGATAGAGTGAGATTAATTTCACCAAAATTTCAACACTAATAGTAGAAGTATGAACCTTTGCACTTGACACATCAGCTATCTTATTCTAGTCAGGGAACAGGCACATTAGGACATATAAATTCATGTGATTTATTTTAGATATCTTCTGTAAAACTGGATAACTGGCATTAACCGAAGTAAGAAAATTTACATGTGAGACAGGACCTGGCTTTTCCCCTAACCTTGTGGATTACGACCACATGGCTTAACTTTTATTTTAACCAGTGTCCAAGAGAAAACGTTATAGGCTATGACACATGTACCTTTTTTAGATCTTGCTTATAAACTCAAGATTCCGGGTTGCTTTAATTTTATACTTTCTTTCTACTACATGATTAGTTTTAAGTTTTTTACATTGTTCTGCACATAGCAGAGACTGGTGACAATCCCATCATTATAACCAATGTTCTCCTTTGCACATTTTCTCTATATCTGTTTTATACAGATCTATCCTATATCATAGAAAGCTTTTGGTAAAGTTAGAGTAAACCATCCACTTGAGCATGTCTTTCAAAGGTAGGCAATGTTCTAGTTTATTAACAGATGCAATCCAAGGCTGGTGGCCATTACAACTTCAGTGCGTTGACAACTACATGGTATTCTCTGTAAGGCAAGAAAATGGCCTCGGTTTATCTGCAGTTTCCCTAAAAAGCCTTTTGTTCTTAAGATGCCTTTCTTGCTCTGCTTATGGCTCAATGACTAAAGCAGGCCTTTTTGAATTATTAGAGCTGTTTGCAGCTTGTGTGCAGTTTAGGGCACCACAATATGTGCAGTGTCAGGAGTTGGACACAATGATCCTTGTGGATCCTTTTCAACACAGGACATTCTACAGTTCTATGATTCTAAATAATTCAGGCATGGTACTGCTAGGTAAGGGCAGACTGTTTGGTCTCTGTGACACCAGGAGCAAGCTTGGCCATGGCCACAGGTGGAGCATTTAGTGTGGCTGCCATTCTTTGCTCAGTCTATACACAGGAAAGACAGGGTGACCTCAAGGCTACAAGCAGTAGTCCAGCTCTCTGGGCTTAATGACCTTGGTGGTCTGCTGGGTATTATCACATACACTTTCCTTTCACACAGCTGTGACTCCACTTAGCCGGAACTGCACTCACAGTGAAAATGAGGAAACAGGTTCTTTCTAGCACTTTTCAGAACTCTTTCCTTCACTCCAAGACATGGCTGTAACATGGACACTGTGGTTGTTTCACCCTATACAGACTTTCCCATTAGCAAACAACACTTCCATGAGCAACCCTTTCTGAGAGGCTGCTTAAAGAAGATGCTATGACTCCTTCTATCCCTTCTGTACAATACACCATGTGGATGTTCATTGCTGCCTATGGTAAAAATCCCAGCCTTCACTCCAAGCAATTTTACCTTTTGGTCCTCAGGTAATGTATCAGTGGACAAATTTATTTTCTCAGTTTGTTCCAAAACTTTACACCTTCAGCCCAATTTGCTGCAACATTTTCCAGAGAGATGCAAATTTCGACAATTTATCCAGAAAATATATCTCATTTTGCGAAGATGATATAATTTCCTCCTTCGCCTCACTGCCCACATAGTTCACACAGAGAAGACAGGTACAAACTTAAATACAGAAAATTCCATTTGAATAGGAGAAAAAGACCCTCTTTTAATGTGAGGTTGGTCAAACACTGGCACAAGTTGTCCTGAGAAATTGGAGTCTCCACCAAGAGAGATACCCAGACTCCAACAAGGATGCAGCCCTGAGCTGCTGGCTGTCACTGACCCTGCTTGGAGTGTGGGGATTGGACCAGACAACCTCCAGAGATCCCCTCCAACTTCCAGCAGCCTGTGAAAAGGGCAGGAATATCATAAGTCAGTTTGAGAAGTTGCTTCATGCTATGTGTTTTTAAGAAGATACATTTTATTCCAGCTCCCTACTTCTTGGAGGCACTACTGTGCCAAGGTACCACAGAAGTCCTTGGACATCAGAGTACCTGATGATGATTGTGACTCTACAGTCCAATGCTGCTGAACACCCAGAGCCTACCTAATGCTGTATGTCTCTGTATAAAACACATAAACATTCATTGAAGTGTTAATTGGGACTTATATCTTGTTTTATTTTCTGGTCTGCAGATATTTTATTAATCTATGCAAAGTGGAATAGTTTCAACAGAGAACATTAAGAGTTCCACCTTAAAATTAATACCCAGACTGGTGGGCAGGGCACTTGGATGACACAAAGGAATTACATTAAGTCCTGACTGAGAAAGAGGTTGCTTTGATCTCTCACATCCTGAGATATTACTACTACCACTTGATTTCTAGGCAAAAGGGACACTACCATTATGTGACAAACGGTTGATTGAAAGCTAAGTGAGCTTTTGGAAGAGCCCACTGGACATGTGTGGATTAGCTGGAAACCTGCCTTAATGGGATTGAGAGGTATTGACACCATCTAATTCCTTGGGATCACTTCGTGCACAGTCTAGGTTGTCTCCTAGTTGGGCAGGTATTTGTGGTTATGTTCTTTCACTCCTAATGTTTCCACTTAGTGCAAAGGAGACCATAGTACTAGGTCACACTGGATGTCACTGCGCAAAAGATGCTTCCAGATTAGGGGTTACAGGCTGAGGACTGATAGTAATAAACACTTTTATAGAGCAAATCCTTCAATTACTAACCTGAGAAATTAATTATTTTTCACTATTCAGCTGTTTAGCTTTGTATTTTCCTGACAAATGCAAATAGGCTGGTTATATTTAATTTTGACCTCTTGACTTGATGCACTGATACCATGTTCCAAAATTCACATGACAAACATTTTAGGCAAATCTTAATTAAAAAGACAAGATTATTCCTTTAGTTACTGCAAAACTCTCTACTTTCCTCTGAAATACGTGATGGTACTTCTTTCTAGCTAAAGTACAGGATGCAGTTGAAACTACAAGTAATGTGTGAGTGACATTTTAGCAGTAAATCAAAATGGCTAGGTTCACCTTATTTACTGTGGAAGAAATAAATTTATTCTGGCGGAGTAGCAAAATAATTCCTATTATGCAAAAGATTTTTAAAAAAATGACATAAAGTTTACAAAATAAATAAAACTATTGTTTTTACAGCAATACAAATACAAATTTAGCAATACTCCTAAATATAAAGCCTCCTAAATATTGATTTTACAGCAACTTACATCCTAAATAAATATTAATATAATATAATTAAATATAAATATAATTATAATTATAATTATAATTATAAATATAAATATAAATATAAATATAAATATAAATATAAATATAAATACAAATATAAATGTAAATATAAATATAAATATAAATATAAATATAAATATAAATATAAATATAAAGCTATATAAATATAAATATATTACCTTCTATACCAGAACATAGTATTGAGTGTAGAAGGTGAACTTCTACATATTAAGAATATGTCATAAGCACCTATTCCTAAAAAACTGGTGAAGAGACCAAATTTTGTTTAGCTGTAGGAATGTACACAGCCACCAGAAGTATAAACAGAAAAACACGCGGAATAAGCCTTCCTACTTTCCTCAGAACTACCAAGGCTGCAGCTAGAGTAACACATTAATATTGGGGCACTGCACTAGGACATTAAGGAAGACATGGACCATTTGGAAAGGGCTGAGAAGAGAGACAAAATATTGATTTTAGAGATGTAAAACAAAATCTATTGTTAGGATGCCAATATGTTTGATACAAATGCACATGTGGTTGCAGGAGAACACTCCTGAGCAGCACATCTGAGGAGACCTGGTCTAAGCACAACCCTGAGAATGCCTGGAGAGCCCAGCCTGCAGCACAAGCTGAGTTTAAGGATTTAAATGCACAATAAGTCTCACAAAGCAGAAGTGCTACTGAGAAGATTAAAAAAGAGACATGCCATCGATATGGTGAAAGAGTGCAATGCCGCTGACTAGATTAAGAAAGAATGACACAATTCATAAAACATGCTGAGAAAGTGCCCTCACGGATAAGACTGAAAAAAGCAATGTCAGGTCAAATGAAGGGACAGGATGTAAACTGCCAAAGTCTACAGACCATACACAGTCTGAAAGAAAATGGAGTCTTGAGGACATTTCTGCAGAAATATTAAGGGAACTTGAAAACGTGGGCAACAGAAATCAGCAAGTCATAGAACTTGCCAAAAAGTGTGAGTGGATAAGTGGATACTTGTGTTTGTGATCATCTGTAGTTAACAGGATCACAGATACACTTCTCTCCTTAACAGTCTTATTTATATAAGACGCACGTTATTCTAGAAACACTGGCATTAGTTAACACCTGTGGGAAGTAACTGTATCACTGCAGAAGGGGTTACAACACAGTGGTTTTCTGAGTTGAGAGAAGGCTGAAGGGACACACTGACAATGGTCTTTGAGTACCTAAGAGGTCATTCTTTTTGAGTACAAAGGATGGCAAGACAAAAATAATGTAAGTCACTGAACTGCTGACATCAGGAAAAACTCAGGGTAATAATGCACAAGGCTGGATTCCTTGTTAAAACTGTGGAATCTCCAACAGTGCAGGTTTGAAATGGCATCTTGGAAAAACATCATGAAAAAAAAGTCCCATATAACTGACCCCCTCTAGGAACTGAGGCAAAGAAGGTGAACTTGAGATCTAGTCCAATCTCATCTGATCTTTTTACTACAATTTTATGGCTGTAGCAAATGTTAGCATAAACTCTGCTTATTTATTTTGATTGTACAAGAAGCACACTTCAAGGGAGATGTTATAATGGCAAACAATCTACAGCAATCCTCAAAAACGGGCTTAACAATGTTATAAATTACTTTAAATTACCAGTTCAGCAGAACACTGAAGCACAGTTCTTGGGTCTTAAAGACTTTAGGTCTAAGGACACAAACCACTCAAATCAGGGCTTGAAGCTGTGAGGAAATACAAAACCAGCCCAATGACACCTTTAACAATAGAATAACCCCAGACTTAACAAAACTCAAGAGAAGGGGTGTGCTGCAGGACAGGGCAAACTCTTATACATCCCACATAAGGCAAGGCATCGCTAATCTCTTCTTCAGGAAAAAAAAAATGAATTAAATAGCCATACCTCAATGTACATTTCATTCGTGGAGAGAGACTGATGTGAATTTGCTATACCATTACTAAGATTTAGTGATCCCATTTGTCACAGTGATAACTGCATACAGATTGCCTGTCTTTAACTAAAGAAAGCTCCCTTCCTCCAAGGCTTATAGCTGCCTGCAGATGCCTAAATGAAGCCTTTCTGTTGACACCCATGGGCTCCCTGGGGTGTTTATGTCAGTCCTGGTGCTATCCCTTTTCATCTTAATGCACACCTGTCAGCCTGCTTGGAATTTCTATTCAGTATCACCTTCCCCTGAAGGCTCCTTCAGCCTGAATAAACTTGGGTTTATTCACAAGTGAAATAAGCTGTGCCCACCGACTTGATGGTTCTGCCTTGAAAAGCCTGAAGGAGCAAAACGCCGAGTGGTTTGAAACCCAGTCTTTTCCAAGTTGTACACTTTGCAGCTAGACAACACAAAATCTATTTAATTGTTCTTGCTAAGACCAGACGATCCTCAGAAAGGGCCCTTCAGAGCGTACAGCCTATGAAACCGCCAGATCGAAGATCTACAACATTTCCCATAATTTAAAGACATACGGGATCGTTTAAAGCTTTTGGCTTTGGATGCGATTGATCTCTCACAAAGTCTACCACCGTATCCCGAGGACGAGTTGATCCGCGCGGGCAAATGACCCCCGCGAAGAGCATCCTTGTGTGCAATGCCCGGAGCTCGGCCCCTAGCGCCGTCGGGCTGCCCGGTGCTTCTGGGGCGCTCCCTGAGCTGAGCGCTTCCCGCGAGAGGCGCGCCCGCGGCAGCGGCTCTTTGACACGGAGAAGGCAAAAAAAGCAGCAGCGAAGAGACAGGACCATGCCCGGGCACCGACACGAGCCCGCTGTGAGCCCGCGATGAGGAGAAGAATGACCCATAGCCGGGCCCCTAGCCCGGGCCCCGCCGCCGCCCCTGTGCCCGCCGTCCCACCGCTCACCGATAGTAGAAACGACGGTGCCCACAAAGTAGAAAGCGCCGGTGAAATCCCATCGGGGTCGGATGTCATCGACACGGATGCCGGCCACGCTCGCCTCCTCGTATTCCCGGAGGAAGTGCCGGAGCTCGGCACGGCTGAGGTTGTGGCGCCGGGTGAAGTTCTCCAGGCGTTCCTCCCAGCGCTCCTTAGCCTCCCGCTCCGTGGGCAGCTCGATGGCCGAGAAGACGGCGGCGCCGCACAGCATGTACAGCACGATCAGCACCGCCAGCAGGAGGAACCGCGC